AGGCCCTCCCATGAATCTGAAACCCACCCAATACTGGAGACAAAGAAAAGTTACTCTCAAAATATTTATTTTCCCCTTAACTAACATTGACTGAAGCAGCTGAAGGGATGATAACACAATTGAACAGGAGCCTCCCAGAGAGCCATGGGTTATTGTCATTACTGGTGATTACAATTAATTAGGAAAAATATACATATAATGAAGAATTAATCAAATGGGTTCTGGTCAGCCATGTCATTGCAAAGAGGAGGATGATTAAACTTGGACATTCCCGGGGAGGTGTTAATGAGAGGAGAGGAGGGGAGGGGGAGGGTGTGGGGTGGATCCATTATTATTACTAGTTGGACCAGGCTGTCAATGGGCTGTGTGTCTGTGTCTGTCGGTGTGTGTCTGTGTCTGTCGGTGTGTGTCTGTGTCTGTCGGTGTGTGTGTGTGTCTGTCGGTGTGTGTGTGTGTGTGTGTGTCTCATCACTGCTACCTTCCCTATCAATACAGGCCCCATCATAACAGGGATTTATCCTCTGGATAGCTGGGAGATCAGAACAATGCTATGCTGTAGCTAGGCTACCATACATTGGATTGATTTGTAATATACAATACAAAGATGCTGTGGACATAACTAAAGCATGCAACTACTGTACGTCTTGCTCCCAGCATCTACTACCACTAAGCTAATTGACAGATTTGAACTAGCCAAATTAACGGTTTCTTTAGAAATATTCAAAACAATATGTGATTTTGGATCTAATGCCTTTTTCAAGGGTGGGGTGGGGGTCAGATCAGCGATTATGTCATTTATACACAACTTACCGTTGCCGAAGAAACAGCGTGAGGACACGCGAGTGGTTACCGTGGAGACTGACAACACACATAGAAGTCATCAGGGAAACAGAAAGAATATAATAACAAATAAATAAACCAACAAACAACCCAATAAATTAAAAGAAAAATCCCCCCAATGTGAAATAAAAATGGGGATAACAGTTGAAAGCAGTGAGAGTTTTTGAGAGAAAGAGAGAAAGTGAGAGAGAAATCATCTAAAATGAGTTTCTGCTCAATGCATGAGCATCTTTTCATTTACTTGTGAAGAGAGACAGATCGACGGACTGGAGGGGTGCTTCTTTCAACGTATGCAAATTATAGTGGTCATAAGAGAGGAGTAAGAGACTCAAAAACCAGGTCGACCACTTTCGTATTAAGAGATTGGCTTAATTGCGTCTGAAAATAGGTCTCCCACGGTCAAGATTGACAGTATAAATACTTAAGTGAAATGTAGCGTAAAATGATTCTTAGTAAAAGGCGACGTGGGCAGGATTCATATTTTGATCCGCAGAGGGGGGTAATTGTATTTTTTTTTTAAAATACTTTGGAACATTTAGCTCCACCATGAATAACAACAAAATAACTAGAAAAAAAGAGAGGATGGGGGTAAGGGACTAAAGACTAAAATATAACACGTGAAAAGAAATACAATGAGAGGTATTACACACACAGGGGCACGTAGACAAGACAAGAGGGTGAGGACCAGGGAGTGTCACACAGAGAAACACATAACAGTGGAGAAACAAAGGAAGACAAACTCGACTGGCATGGGGAGAGAGAGAGAGAGAGAGAGAGAGAGAGAGAGAGAGAGAGAGAAGCCTGTGGTCTGGGAGAAAGAGAGAGGAGTGGAAAGGGAACAGTTCATACTCCCTGTCCCCTTTCCTTTTGCCCTGCTCTCACATCAACACACACACACATACAACCACACCAATCCATTCACAGGTTCACCCCTTTTTCTCTGTCAATCATGCAAAGTATCTGAAACAAACAACAACCATGACTAAATCCAAAGCTAAGCCCAGTTGATCACAAACAGCCCATTTCGAGCAGTAATACACTTCTGGAGCGCAGAGTGATCACAGCCTTCTTTTGATTTGAGCCAATTCACATCTAAAGCTCAATTAAAAGACCTGGTGTTGAAAAAAGATTCAAATCAATGCCAGGATTAAAAGTCAAGTCTGATTGGTTTTCTTGAAGAACATAACCCTTTTCTTTAAAAGACTGACAAAACGTATTCAAATGGAGGCTGTGAGCGGTTTGCCACCCGCAGTAGTGTAGCGTACATCTATCACTGATTGAGAACGGATCAGCCATGCAGGATCAGATGAACAGCACCAGTAAGTCAGTACTTATCACGCTCATTTCTCTCTTTAGTCTGAGACTCAGGCTCATGCAGTGGTGATATGGTTGGTCTCGGAGTGAGGAGCTCTCCTCTCTAAGACCCTGTGTCTGATGAGATGCATGCAGACTCAAGAGCACCAGGGGACGAGACGTCGCTCGTTCTCATTATTACCACTACTTGGGTGATAGTCTACACCTTCATATTCTACTGCATCTAATGTCTGTCTAAAACTCTGCGCCACGGAGTAATCACTTCCCATCACACCAACACGTCAACAAGAGCGGCATGCTTCAGGGTGAGAGAGACACCTACACGTTCAATACACATTACTACTACAGTACTTCAGGGTGGGAAATGTGGTGTGACAGCACAGTGAAAATACTTAAAGGGCTTAATCCGTCAAATGTCGGGGTATCCCACAGTCAAATGTCTTAAATGTCACTTTCAAAACATCAGTGTGATGAGTTGCTTGATGGCATATAATTGTCACTGCCTGGAAATTGATTAAATGTCTATGGGGTGTGATGTCAATGTCTTTAGTTAGAGTGCTTTTTGTGGAATACCCTTTGATATGAGGAGGACACACACAAACACAGACTGATGGAGGAGATGCATGGTGTGTGTGCAGACTTAGACACAGAGTAGTGGAGTGGAGACACAAACAGCAGGAAGACTAGTGAATTGGACCACTTACATGGGTACACTGGACGCGCACGGGAAACTGACTTCTTCAAAGCGCAGAGTTTTATTCCAGACAAAAAGAAGTACACTTCGATGTAATATAATAGGTCACTGCAGAGATCAATACTACACTCTATGTAGAACCAATAGCCATGCACACTTAGGATTCCAAACTAACTAGCTAGGAGAAAAACCACTACAGATTCCCATGCACTGACAGACTTCAGTCAACAACATGAAATAAATCCTTCAATCCAATCAACAACTATTGCCTTTTTTTGTTTTATGGATGGACAGACCTTCATAAAAGTAGCAAGGCATTTTCAACTTTCAGAACACGTCATGCCAAACAACCAAAAGTCCACATCACTATCACCAAAATCATGTAAAAGTCTTAACAAAATAGCCGATATAAACGACATGCAAGAAATCAGACTGTCCACACTAGTGCCGCATTGACATCCCATGTTAGAACACCATAGTATTATCATGCACACATACTTCCAATAAATCCCATGCAAAAGGATAGCAAACAGAGAATTTTCACACTCCTGATTTCAAAAACTATCTGGTAAAATACTACCATGGCATATCTTTCAGAGTTTCCTAAGCAAAACAAAGTGTAATCTAATCCTAGCCTAGTACGGGGCCACTAAAACTGACCATTCCCCATTCCAACATTCCCTATGTCAGAACATTGCCTCTAAGCTTAGCCAGTTTTTAATTAGTATCTTCACATCTGTTAGAATAACGGCAATTGTTTAAAAAAACTATTGAAATTGTATGACCAATGACTAAGCTAGGGTTGCAAACAACTTCTAGGAGAAAGAAGAACCGTCACATAGCATTGGCTCAAAGGAATGCTGGGCTTTTCCTTCGGTGTTGAATGAGCGTATAAATACAGAACAACCTTTATTTGGCCTTAGTCTGTACGGCTGTTCTAACCCATGCACTAGTCAAACACAGACAAACCTGATGACAGACACTCCTGTTGACCCATGCAGTTTACAAAGGACTGGCCACAGCGTCAGATAGTACAACTACTGTCACACATGCAGCAATGATAAAAGTGAAGAAGAGTGAGGGAAACTTCCCTACAATTAAAGTGATAAAGATCATGCATGAAACAAGAAGATACTACAAAGACTACAGAGACAGAAGTTACAGAACTACCAGGGCCAAACAAATAGGTTGTTGATTTATATAAGTTTAACTGATGCAGGTTTTCATTGGGCTCCATCAGTATCCATTCAACTTGCTGATTGACTGAAGGTGAAGTTTAGGGCTTATAGACCATTGGATGCAGGTGTCATTCAGAACCAGATGTTGGAGAGTTGCAGATGAATCCCAGGCGGGACCAGCCATCACCATCATGCAGGACACAACTCCCACAGCAAGGAGGCAGGAGCCCATGCAGAATTGTGATTGGCTAAGAACCTGGCTTATAATAGATCTGCTCCAGAGATGGGTAGGATAGCACTGGCACGCAAACTGACAATATTTCAAAGAAAAACATGCATCTTCTCAGCTTCTCCCCAACCCTGAAACAATCACATACGAGCCACACTTTCATTACAAATATAATTGTGAAAGGACGGAGCTTAATATCAAATATATGCCGTAGTTATTTTACAGATGGAGAGTAGAGGAGTGCATGCATTGTGCTGCATGCTGGAGGCCAGGCGCCATAAGCTTGTCACAACCACTTTGCAGCACGGGAAAAAAAGGAACATTCTAGATTAGGGACTAAGATATGAGCAACCCGGCTACAATCGGCCATGCATCATCGTCTTATCATGTTCTCCTAATGTCCCGCGGTTCCAGCAACAGAGAAAGATTATTTAGATTGTATTTTGAAATCAAAGGCAGTGGAAGCTATAATAAGAAATAAGAAATGGTGCAAGACAGAACTGAGACCTAAACGATGCAGAGAGAGGAAACTTCCCAGCATGCCTTGAGGTGTCCCAACTCTCCCCACGCCCCAAATGAACCAGGGAACAAGACAAACCCCCCAAAAAAAATTAAACGGCAGCAAACCATCTGGGGGTACCAGCAGAGACCACATCAGAGCATGTCAGTGTAAAAGGATGGCAGCTAGCGGAATCAGTGTACAGGCAGAGGAACAATGGCAGTAGGAGGAGATGGGTTAAATTACCTCTATCTTGCGACCTTCCACTAGCGTGCCGTGAAGCCTTTCCCGGGCTTTCTCCGCGTCGGCGCTGGTCTCAAACGTGACGAAGCCAAAGCCCTGGGGTAGACAGACAGAGGGGAAAGAGGAGCACCACAAAGACACCGTAAGGAGAGAGGTGGAAGAAACATACTGGTTGTTTTAGAGAAAATCAAAGCCCTTTGAGTTAGCAAGTTTCACTCATTTCATTACACATTTACTGAACAGGTATACAGTTGTAATCACTGGTTTATACAGTTGTTTGTTCTAGAACTGATACAGTGGTTACTGATTAGTGAAGGGTTGGGCAAATGGAATTTCGAAATTCAACGGAAGGCCGCACAGACTTTCTTGTGACCAATTTGCTTGTCAAAATCAATTTGCAGGCCAGAAAAAGGGCAGTTATTAGAAAATATATAAGTCCATTATAATTTCGACATACTTTCAATCTAGTTTTAGATGTTCAACAGCGGCCTGGAGTGTTATTTTTACCCATAATACTACCCTGTTGTTTATACTATCAGTGCAGGTCAGTAAGACACAGTGCAGTGTAGAAAATGTATCATTTAGACACAGTCCTGTAAAGTTACATTTGACTTTTTCATCATAATAATTTCCCCAGTGGTGGGACTGAGGACATGTTACCATCTCACTCACCTTTGAGCCCCTCTCATTGAAAATGATCTCAACATCAATAATCTTCCCAAATTGCTGAAAATCAACAAACACAAGAATTAGGATACAAACCAAAATTGCATTATATACTCTGTTTAATTAATTGACAATCAGGGGTGAACTAAACCTGCAGCACACTAGGAGGCAGTATTGTACCAAAATAAACTCAATCAAATTGCACCTACCTTCTATTGTCTCCATTTCTATCCCTTTAATACGTTACTACATGCCTTCCTTTCCTCACTCATTCACTAACTACTGACTACCTCTCTATGGCTCTCATGGCCCTGTAATAGAGCAAATCTAAGGATATGAGAGTTCCTCCCTTTGTGACTGTCTGGCCCTTTGTTCTTCTCAACACCCACTCTGACACCAACCATCAATTAAACAACAGAAGGGATTTACTCCTCATCTCAAAGGGCAACAAGGATGTTCCCAGATTCTTACCCCAAACATCTGCCTGAGGTCAGGGTCTCGGAAGCGGAAGGGGATGTTGGAGACGTGAAGTCGTTTTGGGGTTCCTTTGGCCTCTGAGGCGTCAGCCCCGGATACTCCTCCTGCTAATTCTACTGCCAAGCACTGCCCCACTCCATCTACCTGTCCTGGGGACACCTCTGTCTGCTGGGGGAGAGAGGAGAGAGAGAGAGAGAGAAAGAGAAAGAGAGAGGCTGATAAATGGAATGAACCGAGTACTCTCGAGCATTGTCGGGACAAATGCAGAGAGTGAGCCTAACAACAAAACCAACCATAACACTCACCGGGGTGGGTAAGATGTTGGGAGTGGTGGCTGAGCCATTTGTTCCAGCCCCTGAATCCGATGGCCCCTGCCCACCTGCACCAAACAAAGCACCGCCAAACTCTGTCCCCAGGCCGTTCTGCGGAGGGGGTGGTGGAGGGAACGCTGAGAAGGGCGGGGGCACCAGCCCCTCCTGGCCCCCCGTTGAATCTTGAGAACCCTGAAGGAGAGGAGAAGACAGGGTTAATACTGGTAGGCATGACTGTACTGTACCGTTCAGATGGGGGCAGGGAGAGAGACTAGAACGAGGGTTAAAAACACAGCTTAAATTTCACCCACCCTCCTACTCCGTCTCTCTCTCCATATCTCTGACAGCAGAGCGTTTCAGTCAGCCTACCATGAAATATTCACTGCAACCACATCTATTATTGACAGTCACAAAATCTGATACACACACACACACACTGCTACACAAACATGCTAACTATCCATGTACACACATATCCAGACAATATTTACAAAATTTTTTTACCTGTTATACCCTGTGAAAACAGATACTGCTATCCTATTTAGTTACACTTGATATGAATTCATATCATAAGCAGTTGAGTTGGGAGACAGCTCCAGGCCATTGCCACAGCACTGTTACTATGCTGTCTTCATGATAAGCACGGTAATGGATTGTAGCGTTGGCCGGTCACGATTTTAAAAAAGGTGTCAGTTATGTGTTGTGGTATGGTATGGTGACACTGTGATATAGCACTCTTCAGTCACACACTCAAGGACATCCTGTAATAACTTCAAAAAGCACCCCAACTGTGCTCAGAAAGAGCTCAGTAAAAGCCTGTAGGGAGGCAGGAGTGGGGGGGGGGGTAGCGCCATTTTGTTTCGGGCCATGAAACTGCTTCGTGGCCTTCCAGGCATGATGACAGCATCCAATACCATTAAAACAGGCCAGTCAGTCAGTCAGCCAGGCCTAGGCGAGGTGACACCCAGGCTCCAGACAGCCTTTTTAATTACCAGGGAAACTAAGTTGCGGTGCAGTAAAGCAAATGAGGATTCACTAATCCCAGAGACTGCAGACTTCTCATCTTGAAACGACAGTGGAAAGAACCGTCCCAGCTACTGTTAAATCCCCTTTACTAGATAAGGAGGAGTGAGCTTTCGGTTCTGTGCCTCCAAGATAACGAGTGCAACAAAAGTAGGTTTAATTCAGAACAGGATGGAAAAACTGTTCTACTCCTATATTCCACCAGCCACTTCTTATGTATTCCAGTTCATATTAATCGCTTATGAGGCTGATTGCATACTGCATTCATTGCAATGCCAATAACTTAATAATAACAATAGCACAAACGCCACAATCCTGCATAAAACGGGGAGGATGGTTAAATAAAGGAGGATTCCAAATAGGTTAAATGTAGGGAATTAAAGACCCCTTCCTCCTGTAAAGACATGTCATCCATAAACATGCACAAGCCTGTAACAAGCCAGTAAAGGGTGCTTCTCATAGTCTGAGTCACAGGGACCAATTCCAAATCTGTGTTGGAGGCTCAGAGGATGGGGGTGGGGTGGAAGAGTAGTGGGTGTTTCTAACAGTACAGTATCTCGATCATGTGAGTACTGGAATGGATATTTAGGCTACTCACTGGTATCCACTGATGGATGGACAAAGCTAAAAAATAAAAATAAATAAAGAGAGAAGGTACTGGCTGGGGCCTGGTAGCACTCAACACATTTGTCAACTGGACATTCCTGCCACACTGACTGAGAGGTAACAGTAACACTGCCCTAAATGGCTGTATCTCACACACAGAGCAGGAGAGGAGGGAGAGAGAGTCAAAGAGAAAGGAGGGAGACGGTATTATAAAAGGGAGTCATGCTGTGTTGCAAAAAGGAAAGGATAAAATAATATCTGGAAAAACATTGTATTAAAAACTGAAACTGAATTATCAAATTGTTTACACATTTCAGGAGACAGAGGGGGTTGTACAGTCAATTGTATAATATTTCACAAATATGTATATCTGTATACAATACAGCATATCATAACTCACTAGTAAGCCACTAGGTGATGTTCAAAAGCAATGCAGGAATTAATATAAAATAGTCTAAGCATAACAAATCTCATTTGACCACTAGGTACCCTTTCAATATAACTTCAGAATTACTCTTCTGCATAAACGTATATAACACAATATTAAATGCACCATCTGAATTACAACAGGCTAAACTCTGCATCCCTCTTTCTCTTCACGCACGGCGGCGGTAGTACAGAAGTGTTACCTGAGACACCATAGGTTTTTCCATACACCAAGAGGACCGGGGGAAGAAAGAGGGCTTGCAATGTGGGTCAAAATATTCAGCGAACCTTGCGAGAGTGCATGTGTTAAAATGTGTGCAGTGATTGCAGCGTAATAAAATAATTAGAATTAAATTGCACAGGAGACAGTCAGTGAAGAGCGTTAGTAGACTACAGTAATCTCTTTAACCAGTTAGTTAGTCTAATCCCAATCCGTTTATCATGGCAGAATAACTGAATGACCACTATTAATTTCCAGCCTACTGTGACGCATTGCTTTTCATTAAATATGCCGCCTCTTTCCCCCTTTCTCTCCAATGCAGTAGTACGCTCCTCTTCCTTTTTCTGCAGCTGGAGAAGTAGATATGCTTTCCCTCTCCTTTTTCCTCTCCTTCTTCGCCCTCCCCTTCTTTCTCCCTCCTCGCTTGATGAAATCCAGACGAGGGTTTCTACCTCTGCCCCCCCAAGTCAGTCAAAGCCACCGCCGCTACGAAACGTGACCCATGGATCCCAAGAGCCAGTCAAGCATAGCGCTGTAGCCGCCTCCCATCTCCATGTAAGGGCGCCTATGTGCTGAAACCCTGTCACTCCTTCAGGGTTGTCAACCAATGAAAATCACAACACATTATATACAGCCTATCCCTCCACGGTACATTAACAGCTAATTGGCTTAAACCCTACAGGTACCACAAGCAAAATAACACATGGCAATTCATTTAAGGGTAACAGAGCATTGGACTCTTAACAAAATAGTTGGTCAGTTTCTAAAGGTCCGGCGGTAGTATAGGCTATTGTATTCACTGACTCACTCAATATTACATAAATGTATCAAATAGATCAGAGGTTGTTGTTGGCCATGAAGGATGGGACCATGCAAGGCCAGTTGGATGTTCAGTCATACCACACTCTGATTCTGAAAGCCTGGCTGGACCAGTCTCACAGGACACCTTTAAAGACTTCCCTCAGCAGCCTCTCCATTATATACTCCTACAGACTGCACAACGTGAGCCATGTCTACTACGGCTCCAACACCATGGTGGCCATACACAGTCCCAAAACTCTGAAAGATGTCTGGTATGGTATGGTGGAGGAGCAAACCTCATCCCTGACACTTAACCTTTGCAAAGTTCACTGACATGACTCTCCTCATCCTTCAGTCTCTCTTTGAAACGCTGCTCTAATCAACCCAGCAGCCTAAGACATAGTCCCCTGTAGCTCAGTTGGTAGAGCATGGCGCTTACAACGCCAGGGTTGTGGGTTCGTTTCCCACGGGGGGCCAGTATGAAAATGTATGCACTCACTAACTGTAAGTCACTCTGGATAAGAGCGTCTGCTAAATGACTAAAATGTAAAAATGTACGGGGATGAATTAGTGTATCTGGGAGGATTAACATCCATGCCCAATTGCTGTTAAAGGTTTCCCACAATTTTTGATTGATTCAGCCACCAACACTAGTGAGGATTGCCTCTATTTCAGCCCAGAGAAGAAGACAAGAGAATAAACGCTGCTGCGCCATGTGTCCATTGAACTGAACCAGCTCCGTCAGCCGATAGTGGGGGAAGGGGCTTAAGGAGCCTCTGAGACTCAACACTGCACTGCAGCAGAACTGGCCATTGTTTCTGTCAGTCACAATAGTGCATGTGTGCAAATTAACATACTTGCTGTGCTGTCTATCCAAAGCTCAATGTTGTTCTGCATGTCCCTTGAGCCAGCTGGATTGTCAATACTGCAGGTTTAGATAGATGGGCAGAGTGAGGAGCAGTAAGCCTGTAGTGGAGACGGATGTCTCAGAGTGCATTAGTGCTGCAATACTGTCTGCCAGTTCTGCAGCAGTTTGGTTGGTGCAAATGTGAAGCAGCAGGTAAGTCGCTTACCCCTGGGGGTGAACGCTTGGGTGGGGCTCCCTTTCTAAACCAAGCAGGGTGGCTGCAGTAATGGAGGTGATGCAGCAAAATACACCACCATCAAACCATTTCTCAGAACCCGGCTGGTTGCTGTGTTTGCACTTTGCTTGGTTGCTTAATAGCAAAGCTGTTAGTTAAATTGATGGGGTAGCAAACACAGCATTTATAACCCTAACACACTCACAAGCATACACTTTAATCTGGGTTATAATGAAGAAATGTCAACTAAAAGAAGGCATTTTCTTAACCTCACTTCTCTGGAGTTAAAAGATATTGGGGAGATTCCTGCTGCTAACTGTCCAATCAGCACCCAGAGCACAGAACCTCACAGCACCCCATCCAGTATTGTGGCAGGAGGAGAGGGGTGGCGGAGGAAAGGGGAGGCTGGGTTGTACCAACAGAGAAAATTTGAGGGGAAAGAGTAACAACTGTTTCTTGGCACCTGTCTCTTTCACTCAGCAGACGGGGGGACGGGGGGGTTAAACAGCAAAGACAGCTGGGAAGACAACAAAGAATTGCTGTAGCACTCTCTCCTTCTTCCTCATTCCAACAGCCCCCCCCTCTCTGCACCCCCTGGACTAACATGATGTTCTGTAGAGTCAGCATGGCCGCAACGTGCGACATACACACAGCTCAACACTGCTAATTTACAGAGACATTTGCAGAAGCCTGTACATCCTTGAGGGCCCTGATGCACAGACATGACCACAGAACATGTTGGGGCAGCAGGCTCATTAGAACATGTACACAGTTAACCCTTCTTGCTGCCAGTAACACATCTACATATTTAAATGAAAAAACAAGTTATATTACATAAGTCGTTACACAATACCAGTCACAAATCACTGAGCGTTCACTGAGTGTCTAGGCTATGTGCATTTATTTGTGGTAAAAGAGAAACAACAGTATAACTCCATGCAGCAATCTGAGGCCTTGCCTTGTGCAACGTATCAAAACTAGCTAGGTAAACATCTTTAGATGTTCCAGGTCTAAACCTGCTACACTGGATAGGAGCATACAGAAAACTATGATGTTAACTCACCGGCAACACCGCAGGATAGTACAGCCCCATCATTGTCTGTACGGGAAGGAAGAAATGCCTCAAGTCTCTCCTCTCTTTCTCTCTATTCCGCTCTGAATGTGGTCTGTTACCATCCGCCGGGAAGCACCTTCTGTCCACGTCTCTCACAGATTCAAATTCTCCCTCGCTCTCCGCCAGTGTTCCCCCTTCCCTTAGCACCAAGCAAGCCTTGTGTCCTTGTCACTACCTTATTTTCTGTTTGCCCCCTTGTCAGTTTTCTCCTCTTTGACAGCTCTCGAGTCTCTTCTCTTCTTCCTCTGACGTGTGTCACTTCTCACTCAAACTACCTCTCCTGCTCTGCTCTGTCATGGCTTCTGCATGTTCCATCCCCCTTCAAACTTTCCCTCTCTCTGAGCCTGGCTGGGTCCCTCCTATCTATCAGTCTCTCCATCCCCTCCCCTCTCCTCTCTGGTTAGGTACTGACAGGTTAGGAAGGAAGGAGCTGCTGTTTGGCAGCCCTGAGTAGAAGACGCTCCGTTTCACACTGTAACGCTACCCACTGCATTGCAGGTTTTTTTAATCATTTATTTATTGGATGGCAGCTTGTCAACCCCATGTTAGGCTCGCAGGCAGCTTCCCCCTCACCTCCCCATGTTCATTACCCAGAGAGGAAACAGCTTCAAACTGCTACGGCCCCATTCTACACCTCCACAACATGTATATTTATTACTCTGCATTGCGCTTTTTCATTTCCTACACTAGAGTATTGTTGGGGTTCTATGGGAGAGAGGAGTGCAGCTCCCCTGCACTTCTTAAGATACTTTTTTTCTCCCCTTTTCTGCCCTGCCTGCAAAACGTCTATGCCAGTATGCAGACATCTGCTGAGGTTGGCTACTACAGAGGGGAGAGAGAGATGGAGAGGGAGGGGAGCGAAGGAGGGAGAGAGGGACCAAAAGAGGTGATGGGAGGTGGTGAGAAAGGGGTAAAAGAGGTGGTGAGAGAAGCTGAGAGAGGCAGTGGATGCGAGCGAGAGATAACGGGATAGAGATAAAAGGATAAAGGGATGGGGAAAGAGCGAGGGATGACGGGATTAGGGTGTAAGTGAGGAGGATGAGAGGATGATCTAAGGATTAACTACACAGACTGAACACACTGATAAACACACAGATGCACAGCCATATTTACTGTGCACCCTGGCAGGCACACAAACACACACATGCTTTCAAACAAAGGGCTATTTCCATCACACTCTCTCTCACACACACATACACTCAAACAATGCCCCTACCCCACAAACACAGATCATCATAAGGCCATACATATAGGGATACACTGATATGGGCATTCTGGGCTGATACAATAGTCCTAATCAATATTCTCTTGTCCATGATGGATTATATATCGATATGGAAATATTGATCTGAATGCCAATGTATGCATCCCTACATACCAACAAACAATACATAGCTCTACTATTTAGGTTGGTTGATTGAATCTATTAGACTATTAAAAGTAGTAGGCTGCTCCAACCGGAGAGGTTCTGCTGGCCTGAGTTAGAATACCTATAATATAATAATAATATATAATATAATATAATATAATATAATAATAATAATATAATAAGGTAACAAGTGGTCCTCTGTAGCTCAGCTGGTAGAGCACGGCGCTTGAAACGCCAAGGTAGTGGGTTCGATCCCCGGGACCACCCATACACAAAAAAATGTATGCACGCATGACTGTAAGTCGCTTTGGATAAAAGCGTCTGCTAAATGGCATATTATATTATAGAATACCTCATGATAAGCTGTAGACCATACTATTTACCAAGAGAGTTTTCATACATTTTTCTTAGCTGGCTATTTACCACCACAAACCGATGCTGGCACGAAGACCGCACTCAACTAGCTGTATAGGGCCATAAGCAAATAAGAAAATGCTCATCCAGAGGCGGCGCTCCTAGTGGCCAGTGATTTTAACGCAGGAAAACTGAAATCCGTCTTACCCAATTTCTACCAGCATTTCACCTGAACTAGAGGCGAAAAAACTCTAGATCACCTTTACTCCACACACAGAGACGTATAACAAAGCTCTCCCTCCCCCTCCATTTGGCTAATCTGACCATAACTCTATCCTCACGATTCCCGCTTACAAGCAGAAACTCAAATAGGAAGTACCAGTGACGCGCTCAATACGGAAGCAGATGCTAAGCTATAGGACTGTTTCGCTAGCACAGACTGGAATATGTTCCGAGACTCATCAGATGACATTCAGGAGTTTACCACATCAGTCACTAGCTTCATCAATAAATGCATCGATGACGTCGTCCCCACAGTGACTGTATGTACATATCCCAACCAGAAGCCATGGATTACAGGTAACATCCGCACTGAGTTAAAGGCTAGAGCTGCCACTTATAAGAAATCCCACTACGCCCTCCGACAAACCATCAAACAGGCAAAGCGTCAATACAGGTCTAAGATCGAATCCTACTACACCGGCTCTGATGCTCGTCGGATGTGGCAGGGCTTGCAAACTATCACAGATTACAAAGGGATGCGAGCCTACCAGACGAGCTAAATGCCTTCTATGCACCGAACCATGCGTGAGAGCACCAGCTGATCCGGACGACAGTGTGATCACGCTCTCCGTAGCCGATGTGAGTAAGACCTTTAAACAGGTTAACTTTCACAAGGCTGCAGGGCTAGACAGATTACCAGGACGCGTACTCAAAGCATGCGCTGACCAGCTGGCAAGTGTCTTCACTGACATTTTCAACCTATTCCTGACCTGGTCTGTAATACCAACTTGTTTCAAGCAGACCTCCATAGTCCCTGTGCCCAAGAACACCAAGGTAACCTGTCTAAATGACTATCGCCTCGTAGCACTCACATCTGTAGCCATGAAATGGTTTGAAAGGCTGGTAATGGCTCACATCAACACCATGAACCCAGACACCCTGGACCCACTCAAATTCACATTCCACCCCGAAGGGATCCACAGATGACGCAATCTCTATTGCACTCCACACTGCCCTTTTCCACTTGGACAAAAGGAACATATACGTGAGAATGCTGTTTATTGGCTACAGCTCAGCGTTCAACACCATAGTGCCCTCAAAGCTCATCACTAAGCTAAGGACCCTGGGACTGAACACCTCCCTTTGCAACTGGATATCCTGACGGCCACCCCCAGTTAGTGAGGGTAGGCAACAACACATCCACCACGCTGACCCTTAACACGGGGGCCCATCAGGGATGCATGCTTAGTACCCTCCTGTATTCCCCATTCACCTACGACTGCGCATGACTCCAACACAATCAATAAGATTGCTGACGACACGATGGTACTAGGCCTGATCACCGACGACGATGAAACAGCCTATAGTGAGTGTGATGCCAGGACAACAACCTCTCCCTTAATGTTAGCAAGACAAAAGAGCTGATTGTGGACTACAGGATACGGAGGGCCGAGCACGCCCCCATTCACATCGACTGGGCTATAGTGGAGCAGGTCGCAAGCTTTGAGTTCCTCGGTGTTCACATCACTAAGGATCTATCAAACACACCAACACAGTTGTGAAGAGGGCACGACAATGCCTCTTCACCCTCATGAGGCTGAAAAGATTTGGAATGGGCCCTCAGATCCTCAAAAAGTTATACAGCTGCACCATTGAGAGCATCTTGACTGCCTGCATCATTGCTTGGTATGGCAACAGCTTGGCATTCGACTGCAAGGCGCTACAGAGGGTAGTGCGTACGGCCCAGTACATCACTGGGGCCGAGCTCCCTGCCATCCAGGACCTCTATACCAGGCGGTGTCAGAGGAAGGCCCTAAAAAATGTCAAATACTCCAGCCACCCAAGTCATAGATTGTTCTCTCTGGTACTGCATGGCAAGCGGTACCAATGTACCATGTCTGGAACCAACAGGACCCTGAACAGCTTCTAGCCCCAAGCCATAAGACCGCTAAATAGTTAGTTAAATAGTTAACCAAACAGCTAGCCGGACTATCGGCATTGACTTTTTGCACTAACTTTTTTGACTCAGCACATAAGCTGCTGCTACTGTTTACTATCTGTCACTTTATTCCTAGTAATTTGTATATATCTACCTCAATTACCTCATACCCCTGCACATCGACTCAGTATTGGCAACCCTTGTATATAGCCAAGTTATTCTTACTCATTTTGTATATATTATTACTTGTTTTACTTTTCTTTCTCAGTTTTCTTTCTCTCTGTATTGTTATGAAGGGCCCCTCAGTAAGCATTTCACTGTTAGTCCACACGTGTTGTTTACAAAGCATGTGACAAATACAATTAGATTTGAGACAAAAATACATACATCAAAATTCAAGGATAAAAACACAATAAAGCCCAAAGGCTTATTTCCATCGTGGTCCTCAGGTATGGATGTGTAAAATGTAATTGTGCATTTACTGCAGCAAAACACACTTGCATGGAATACCAGTACTACTGACCCCACAGTCAAACGTGTTCTCTTCTATATCATCAGAGGCAGATACAGGACTGTGTGGTCACTGTATACTGACTGACTAGGACCATCATGGCTTCTGTAGCCTAAACGTGATGAGGAGGGGCACTAACCTCCAGACAGACCCACATACGTAGGGTTTTGGCTAAGCCACCATGCATAAACATTGTCCCTATTGACACAGCCAAACCTACAGGTAGATCAACCAACGCACAACAGCCCATAGGAACTCCAGCTAGAATGTAGATAGGCTAGACTAACTCCTCCAACCCTTTGCATGACAACCGGCTCAACTCCTATGTGTACTCTGAGGCCGATTACATTACATTTTAGTCATTTAACAGACGCTCTTATCCCGATCGACTTACAATTTTTTAGTGAGTGCATACATTTTCATACTGGCCCCCCGTGGAACTAGCTAGCATTAAATAATTTAAAACATTGGTTGTATGTTTGACTAGTCTTGAATCAAATAAGTAAGTTAGGTTCCCATGTGTTTGTTTGGATCATAACTATATAACAACCTTACCAAATGCATGTTATTTCAGCCGTGTCTAGCCCAATGGTATTAAAACTTTTTCAGCGGGGACCCCATTTTTTCCGCAGAAATTTCTTGCCAAACCTAACAACCTTAACATCGGTCAAATCATCAACAAATAATCTTTAATTCATTCAATTTTTAATCTCTTATCACAATGAAAACAAACCAATAAATACATTTACTCAATATTTTTGTTTTTATATTTTGGTGACCCCACTGCAGTTCCCCTGTTCCCCCACTTCGGGTCGCGACCCCGACTTTGAATACCACTGGTCTAGCCTATATATTACCTCACCACAGAAAGGTTAACTTCAATATGGTGGCTCACTTGCTTCAGTCTCCAACTTCCCCTCCTCTCGCTTTCCCTCTCTCCTGCCTCTTGTGCTTTCCATCCACCCCCCCCCTCCCCGTCTCTTCAGCACACGCAGCGAGCGAGCTGCATTCCCAAGAAAGGAGATGGCAGGGGTAGAGGAACGCA